TTAAATAAGTTAACAATTTACGTTGACAAAAATTGATATTTTTTTACTTCTACAGGATAATTCAAACCAGTCTCTAACTATTAACCAACTATTTTTTTTATTAATTCAATTTTAAATTTTAAATAAAATTTTGAGCTAAAGGAAAAATCGTCTCAGAAATTTGAGTAGAAATGGGAGGGGTGAGGGGAGGGGGGGGGATCAAATCAAGGGACAAGGGGGGTTGTTTTGAATCATCTTTATAATCTTTTAGCTGCTGCTCCTTGTCGCAGTACAGTGGCGCGATCTCCCAACGGAGCGCTCAATTGCGGGCCCGCTTCAAGTGAATACGTGTACAATATTCCGCTGTTTTATCGCGCAAAGTCCATTCGCCGTTGCCGTCATCACCTGGTCCTCCGTGCCGTTCGTCCCGACGGTGACACGTGAGCCGCGTGTTCCCGTTTAGAAAATCCGTCCCGGATCGACGATGGGACGCGGACGTCGCGCGCGCGATTCCGGCCAGTGCTGATCCCGGATTATCAGAACCCCGGAATACAAGATCCCGCAGAATCCGCCGTTTCTCGACGAAGACGTTCGAGGAAGTCACCTTGATACGCGAGACTAGTGAATGGTGAGAAATCTGCCGCGTCATGCCTTCCAGAAGGAACAAAGGCGGCCTTCTGGCCAGGGTGAATTTCCCCCTTTACACCCTGCAGATGCTTACCAGCAGGCACATCCTGGTGGGTGGTGGAGGCGGCTCCTCTAAAACTGGCGTTGCCAATGGATTTGTGAGTGTCTCGTGCAACTTACGTCTCAACGAGCGTAAAATATTAGGGCAGATTCGAATAGAATGTTGTGATAAACTGGCGTTGATTGTTTCTATATTGAACTTGTTGTTTCTATCAGTGGAATTTGCTGATTTATAATATTACATCAGATTGTTAGCGGGAAACCAAGCAGAATGTCATTTCATGATGATTTAAATGGATTCAATCTGCTGTCTATAATTTGTTGTGTTTTTGACGGCTAATAAGATTTGCAAAATTTACTTTTTTTGATCTGGCTAGGATTATTTTCTTGTCTTCTTTCTAATAAAATCTTCTCATTTTTTTTTCTTGATTTAAAATCTTGGCATATCATTTCTTTTTTAAGTGGATATGTTTGTTGTTCTAGGAAATTTTTGAATTATCACATAATGGAGTGCACTTTATTGCTGAAGAGGTTACTAGACATGAAACGGGTCCTAGTGTGGTTATGAACTGCGCCTCGCACAACAATGGCAAGAAGACATGGATAGTTGCTGGTCAGGAGAGTCATTGTCAACTGTATAATGTAAACCCCAAAGTAGTGACTTTGGAAAATGGAGAATTGATTAAAGGGTCGACTGCAAATACAACTAATAAAGATGGCCTTAGGCATAGGAGGAACAGTGAAAAAGTAGAGGAACCGCAATCGCCAAAAGAGAGGATAGAGGAAATCAAAGATGACAATTCTAACGTCAAGAGCAAGAAATTGCAGTTGATTCTTAAACCTGCCGATAGTGTGCAAACAGCTTTCGGGTAAGATAATTTGCTGCATTTATTATGATAATTTGTTGCATATAATATCAAAGAGTATTTTTACCGATTTCTAATAAAAACTTTTTTGCCTGCAGAAATGGTGAGCCTTTACAAAGAGTTGTCAGGGTTAGCTTACAAGGGACGATCATGGCTACTGGTGGCACGGATGGTAGAGTCAGATTGTGGAAGTTTCCGCAACTACATAAACTGCATGATCTTGACGCGCACGGAAAGGAGATAGATGACTTGGATTTTAGTCCGGATGGTAGTCTGTTGGTGAGCATTGCTAAAGACGGAAAAGCTTTCCTGTGGAATCTGAACGACGGTACGAAGAACAAAGAGCTCACTTGGACGTCACCGGAAGGAGCCAAGTATATATACAAAAGATGCCGATTCAGGAAACTGACGGAGGACAAAACGAAGATCGATCTATTCGTGCTTTCGAATGCTGTCGCAGGAAAAAATCCCAGTTTCCTGCAGTTGTGGGATGCCCATACTGGAACCGTCATCAAATCCGCTTCCTATAAGGAAACGCTGTCAGCGCTAGCCGTGTCTGACGATGGTAAATTTGTGGCTGTCGGCACGATGTTCTCGGGCAGTGTTGATATATTCGTGGCATTCAGCTTGAGAAAAGCGCTTCATGTGCCTGGAGCACACAGCATGTTTGTAACCGGTCTGGAATTCTTGCCAACGAAATTAGACGGTCCCGCGATTACGAGTAACACAGAAACCGCGGTGGTCAGTATCTCGGTGGACAACAGGATCTGTATACACAGCATACCGTTTAGACGTAAGTACGTTATATTTATCGCGAACGAATATCGCGACAATTGCCTTTGTAGAATTTGTAAAAATAAATATTTTTCTGAAATGTTTCAGATACACTGCCATTCTGGTTTGTCATCATACTGATAGTCTTATGTATATGCGGCGCGTTTATCCTCTGCAGTTATCTCGGTATATGACCCATGAAATGTGCGACTGAACCGATGAAGCAGGACGTCGTCTTTTCATAATTACCGTATTAGCTCGATAATTGTCTGCGCGAATTAAAAGTACATTCAACGCACGATTTATTCGTAAACATGATGAGAATGCTCAAGAATCTTAATACACACAGACAAGTCGTTAGCTCATCTGCTGACGGATCTCGTCAACAACGTGCGATATTATTAGCTTACGAAACAAAGTACACCCTAACTGTGAATGTGCACAGCATTAGACTAAGAGTATTCTTGTTTCGTTTAGCGATTAAAATCGTCCGTTACCGTACAGTAGCTGAATTCATCAGATACAGATAGATTTTCAGGAAGCGTTCGCACGATTTATATATATATATATATATATATACACACACATATATATATAGACATGACGTCAGTCGAGGTGCTACTGTGATAAATAAATTATGTTGGAGTGCTTCCAACAAATAGGGTCCGCACCAATAGCACATTGATGTACATATAGATATATTATGTTTTATCAATTTTTAGCGCGAAAGGAAGAGGATACGACAGAGCGATTTTTAATCAAGATCGTTCCTTTTCTCCATGAATACGCTTAAATAATTCTGTTTATGGCAAGTAATTCGAGATTTGCATTTCTCGTACTTATGATCATATCTTTCTTCTTTTGTATTACAGATGAAAATACACAATTCATCGCATTTATATGTGTTGTATTACGTACACCTAATATAATCTTTCCTGATTGTATCGTCCACCTGACTGTATTTTTTTTTATGTAACATAGAGAGATAACAAGAATGATAAATACTTGATGCTGTATGATTAACAAATAGTTGTATTTCGCAAATTGAGCTTATAAATTATTTATTAGAGACTTTTTCTAAAGTTTCTTAATTTATTTTTACAATATGCGTATATTTTTATCGTATAGTATAGTTATTCTGACTAATGATGAAGATTTATTTGAATAAGTATATATGTATAATTTTTGCTCATGCGCAAGATTGTGCAATGAATTTGTAAGCGTCTCGACCCCTACTTCATTAATAATAAATGATAATATAATAATAAATGATAATATAATAATATTATCCCATGAATATTCTTTCAATGACATGTCGAAGTTTACGAAATAAATCTCGCAAATAAGTATGAAATAATATTTTCGTTTTGCTGAAATAAATCGTATCGTCAATGAAAATCTAAAATGCTGTTCATGTTATTGATGATAGATTGAAAAAACACAACCTGCTCCATCAATTAGTTGATTGACAGCATGATAAAAAAGTTTTGGTTTTTAATATTTGATGATAGAAGAAGAGACATTTTCATATAAATTATTTCATATAAATTAGATAATTAAATTTTTCATGAAACGCAGAACGAGAATTAATTATTAATGGGAAGCGAATAGACGACCATAATAATTACAATTACGAGTACATAAATTTATAAATCCATATTTTATCAAAAAACATGTGTTAGTGTTTTAAAAAATAGCGCTGCAAATTGCAATTCAAATATAAAAATTTTATAATTTCGAGGATCCGAGGTTTTACAAAAGATGAAAAATTATCTAAAAAAATCGCATCTCATTATGTGTGCTAAATTATGTATTATATTTTCGATCTCGACAGAGGTCATTTCTGGAGGGGATTTCAAGCGAAAGAGGATGTGGAGAGGGAATTTAATAATTTATTTATTAAAATGAAACGTATTTATATATTCAGTAGTGTGCCACCAGTTTGTATCCTATAATATAAGTATTTATTGACGAGCATTCAAACAAAGTTTCCATTTTTCTATTACTACACTTCGACGGCCAGTTATCATGAGCAAATTACTGAGCAAATTACTCATTCTTCACATTCTCGGCATCAGTATCGCAACTGATTCGTTGCGGGAATCGGTGGATAGGTATTATAATATTTATCATAACGCAAGCACCTTGAGCTGGACGAATAAGCTGAAGCTGGGTCTCGGTGTGCTCAACATCAGGAGGGACAATCAGCGTTTTCTAAGTGAAGAAATACCAGACAGGACTCCGCGGTTTGGATTCACATTCGATTTCATAGTGGTTGGTGCTGGTACGGCCGGTGCCACTCTAGCCGCGAGACTGAGCGAGATCCCCCAGGTAAAAGTGTTGCTGATCGAGGCCGGATCCCACGAGAACCTTTTGATGGGCGTGCCCTTGGTAGCTCCCTTTCTACAGCTGGACGACAACATCAATTGGAAGTATCGGATGAAATCGTCCAAGAAATATTGCCTCGGTATGAAGGACAATAGTTGCTCTATGCCAAGGGGGAAAGTGCTTGGGGGTTCTAGCGTGCTAAACTACATGATCGCTACCAGAGGCAGCGCCGAGGATTACGACCGCTGGGCCGAGATGGGGAACGACGGCTGGGCCTACAAGGACGTTCTCAAGTACTTCAAGAAGTTGGAAAGTATTGATATTCCGGAGCTGCGATCCGACAGCTTATACCGCGGCACCGATGGACCGGTACACATCAGCCAATCGACATTTCGCACGCCGTTGGCGGCGGCTTTTCTGGAAGCCGGCAAGGAGCTGGGATATCCATTGGTGATGGACTATAACGGAAAGGATATGATAGGATTTTCGTATGTGCAGAATACGATCGTGAATGGTACCCGCGTGAGCAGCAACAGGGCGTATCTGCATCCCGCGCGCGACCGCAAAAATCTTCACGTGACCCTCGAGGCCACGGTGAAAAGGGTGCTGATCGATCGTCGTGAGAATCAGGCGATCGGCGTGGAGTTTACCAAGAACGGTCGGGATACAATCGTGTACGCGAGAAAAGAGGTGATTCTGTGCGCGGGTACCATCGGGTCGTCCCAGTTGCTGATGCTGTCCGGCATCGGGCCGGCTAAACGTCTCACCGAGCTCGGCATAAAGGTTGTCCGGGACGCTTCGGTCGGTAAGAATTTAATGGACCACACGTTATACGTAGGGCTCGCGTGGACGATAAAAGAGCCGCTAACTCTACATTTCTTCGAATACATAAATCCTTTTAAATCGTATATCACGGATTATCTGCTGAAGCGATCGGGACCGTTCACGATTCCGTGCGGGATCGAAGCTGTCGCTTTCATCAACACCATCAATACCACGCGCCCACGGGAATCTAACGATCTGAATATCGGTCCGAATGTCGAACTGATATTTACCGGTATCCTGCCAAACGGAGATTTTATTTTACCGACAGTGATGAATCTGAAGTCCCAAGTACGTCAGATATGGGAGAAATACATCGGCAGCTATGGCTTCATGATCTCTCCGATAGTGATGAAACCCAAGAGTCGCGGTTGGATAACGTTGTTGGCTAATGACATTAACGTTAAACCCGAGATCGTGCCGAATTATTTCGACGATCCGGAGGACGTCAAAACGATGATCGCCGGTATCAGAATCGCGATAAGTCTCGTTCAGACGAAAGCGATGCAGGCGTTCGATCTGCGAATGGCGAATGTTATGTATCCCGGATGTGAAAAATACGAATATGATTCCGACGCTTTTTGGGAATGCACGATAAGAACGATAACTAACACGATCTATCATATTTGCGGCACCTGCAAAATGTCACCGAGGGAAGACCCAACTGCCGTTGTCGATCCCAGGTTAAAGGTATTTGCTACGAGACAATGAAGTATTTACGTATGCGGAGTATAATTCTCGGTATCTATAATAAGATATAATAAGAAGGTCTTATGTTTTAAGTGACGTAATTCCCGACAAAAAGCGTTTCTTGAACTGTTTGAGTCATAATTCCTAGACTTTGTCCTTGATCGATAATAGCCTGTAATAAGCCTTAAGCTTTATGCTCTAAACTAATGATAAATAATTTCTGCTGAATCAAAAAGTGACTTCTGCTGAAAAAGCGATGCTGTTTTAAATCCTAAACACTTTATTGTTAGGATCTGGCTAACAATGAGTCTCTAAAATTTGAGGATTACGACTTAAAACAGCTCAGGAAAGACTTTATGTAGCTTACTGTAGGAAATTATGTAGCTTAAAATATAAAGTTTAAGATTTACTACACACCTACTGTAGCTCGAGGATAACACGGTGTACGAGATTTATTGTAATTTTTAGCTCATACTCAATATGTCGCAGGTAATCGGTGTTCGAGGATTGAGAGTAGCAGATGCATCCATTATGCCCGAAATTACAACAGGACATCCAAATATACATATTCATATGATCGCCGAGAAAGCAGCAGATATGATCAAAGAAGAATGGGGATATTTAAATACATCGTAATATTTTATAAATTAGATAGAGGCCTCCTTAGCTTTTATTGATTATTAATTTATTATTTTATAATTACTTTCTAATTTTAATAATTCTAGTATAAATTTTCAGATTCAATTTTCTTTACATAATGCTTTTATAATATTATATTAATTATATATATAAATGTATTGTCGTGAAAAATGTTAAGAAAGTTCGATTTTTTTATTATACGAAATTAAATTCTTTACAAATCTCGGCGCGCAAATATCAAAATCACGATATTGAACTTCAGGATTTCGAAATTAGCAATTAAAATGAGCGGATGTCGTGTAGTCGTCGCAAATCTTTTCGTTTTTCCACGACATTGACCTTTGCTTACCTGTTTTCTTTTTCTTTTTTAATTTACTAGACACGCGCTACACATGCATCATTTATCTTTTTAAACGAAAGAAACAGAAATTAATATAATGTTACATTATTAATTCTTTGATATACACGATATATACAACTATCATAAACATCTCCGCAATGACAGTTGCTCAAGTAAGCACAATCGGCAACGCGAAAAAGATAACAATAAACTTGGAGAGATGCGAATAATCGACTTAACGTGCCATTGTTTAGAAATGGATGGATTAAGATGTAAATTATTTTAAATAAAAAAAAAATTTAGACTTTTAATTTATTGTCACATACTTTTATTGTTGCTTATAAAAAAATTTGAAGCTTTGTTTCTATAAATTTTAAACAAAAGATGAGATTTGCAACAGAGTAGGAAAATATTAATACTAAGCGTAGAAATATGTAGTTATTTTATGGAAGATTTTCCGAAATGTCGGGAATTGAGGCAGCATTTGGAAATTTGCGTTTCTTAATGCATCACTTAATAATTTCAGAAGAATATTTTTTAGATGTATTGTTAGAATAATTAATAAATATGAGATTTTAAGTATCTTATTAGAAGTAAGATATTTTATAAAAACGTTTGATGAAGAAAAAGTTACTATTTACTCTTGTATTTCTCTTTATATTTTTAATATATTTTGAAGCAATTAGTTTATTTAACAAAAATATGTAATGTTTCAATTAATTATATTAATTTATTGTGATTATCTAAAATAAAGCTTTTTTTCTATTTCCGAAACAGTAATTAATTTTTCAAGTCATATCAATTTTATTTTTATAATCAACAAGCAATTGATTTGTTCTATATAGTATAAGTATTTTAATATTTATGAAAAATGGTAATACTGATAAGGGAATTAAAAGTGATGATAATTATATTGGTGTTTTTAACTGTGTTTTTAACTGTGTTTAAAAGATGTTCTTCTATTAAAGTTTAACCGTTGCTTCAGGATTCTTTTAAACGAATATTTTTTAAATATGAAATATTTGATATGAAACTCTGTATTTTGTATTTTATTATTTCAAGTATTAAATTAGAATGTTCTCAAAAAGTATAAAATTTTTTAAAAAGTGTAAAATAAAGAGCAAAGAAAATAAAAATTCAAATACAAAACTGGCATTATCTTTTTAAAGATAATGATATGAAATCTCTCAAGACAAATATTTATCTTTAATATATGTTATTTGTCTTTTTTATGCGTATGCTTTTAACATGTTTGCTAAGGATACGGTTATATTCGCGAACCTCAAAAAATGAAAAATCATATGCAGTATTTAATTTTCTCCTTTTATTAAATCCATTTTGCGTTTAAATATAAGTAACTGACACATAAAGCCAAAATTTATTCATAACTTTATTAAAAATTCATTTTTCTAATGTTTTTAATAGTCCATTTTCTAGAATCTATTTAAAAATTTTATTTATATTATAAATAGAAAAACCAAAAGATTTGTCTATAATTATATATTATATATTATTCATTATGTGTCATTATATATTCATTATGTGTCATTATATATTACGCATCAAATAGCAACAAATATGATTAATTGTGTAAACTGATTCATTATTTTTTCTCTTCTATTTTTTTCTATCTATAATGACGATCAAGAAAAATATTTAATAATATATAGTGTTCTTATCTCTATACAATTTAACGTTTTCAAGGTTCAAAGTATACGTAATTAACATATCAAATGTCATCTGATGAGTTATATTACGTTCGAGAATTAGCATCGCAGCTTCGTAGAAGACAATGTCTATTATCAAAGTTGAAAATTAATTATAAATTAATAATATTATAATAATTTATTTATTATAAATTATTATAAATAATAAAATTAATGATAAACTGAATAAAATATCACGGTTGCGTAATAAGAAGTTCGTGCGTTTCAGTTTCTTTCTTACCAATGTGTGCTCACCATTTTATTAGAAGCAAATTGAATAATGCATACTATTAATAAAATTATTTCTAGGAACTTTTAAATCTATTAAAAAAAAATTTTTTTCAAAAATAAAAAAAGATTAATATAGAAAATATATAATATGTAAATAATTGTCTTGTAGTATGATTTCTACTTGTTTATAATTTATTATTACATTTATATGATTATAATACAGAAGAACTCACATTTGTTTGCAAAAATAAATATCAAATAACAAACTATTTAATTTAATACTTGCTTTTATGCTTATACATCGTGTAAATTATATTTAAATTGTTTTTTTAATTTTTTTATACATTTTATAGAAAAAAAATTGACATTTGTTTTATGAAAGTTTACTCCTTCGGAAATTTTATAAAATATTTTTTGTATTTACATATACATTTGATATTATTAATAAAATCTTTAATTTATATCAAAAAATGTATGTACATAGCAATAAATTGAAAATTGTATATATAATAATAAAATATACAATAAAAAGAAACGTTTGATTTTGCGTAATAACACTGTTAGTAGTTTAAGGATAAATTATATTTTACAATTTCCTGCGATGTACATCTGTTGGTTTATTGTGTGCTAATTAATTTATGTAAAAATTAGAAGCATGTATAATCGTAGCCGTAAGGAAAATAAAATAAGATTGTTTTGTTATTAATCCTTAAGCGATGAATATCATCCACTATAATTCTCAGAAGTTTTCGCAACTAATACCGACGAAATATAAAAAATGATATGCAGAATACTGCAAGAGCTTCAGACACAATTGTCAATATCGCATAAAGATTGCGGTAAACATCATTTAAACATTGAGGAGACGTCGTTCTGAGAAAGATTAATGAATTCTCGTCTGCTCATATTCTTTTGATTTTTCTTTTTCGTTGTATTTATTTCTGGTATTCAAAAATTGACTGTTTAGCATTTTATTTTTGCGAAATGTACATTTATTATTAACTTAATCTCCTACATTTTGTAATAAGGCTTTTCCTCTAAAGAAGATTGATGTAAACTGTCAATTAACAATTATATGCAATACGCAAGTGAATATTTTAGTGTCAGGAAATTAATCCTGTCTTTGCGTAAAATATTACGATATTATGAAAAAAAGTAAAAGTGTTTCAAGCGATACGCGTCGAGCCCTGCCGGTCAAATTGTGCTATAAATTGGAAAAAGTAGTTGGCCACTACTGCTTTAGCGCGAGTAATCCGCATCCGCGATCAACCGTAACTCATTATAGAGCAATGTTCTTGCGGAGTAGCTGGTTCAACCAGCAATTTGTCTTAACTCTTAATGCAAACGAAACGAACGTGGTGACTTACTTACGGAGCCATTCTTAGTACTATTCAAACGCTAAGTACGTTTAAGAGATAATTGATACACTATACATGCAATGTTCAAGTGCAGTAGCTGCAGAAAGCCGTGAACGTAGCTACTTTTGCGTAAAAATAGAAAAATAGTATTAGGAAATAATATATTTATATAATAAAACTATAACAATTAAATAACTTATATTTTTAATGTATTGAATATTTTTAATGTATCAAAATTTATTTGTCACTTTGTGACAAGTTTACATTTTGATATTAAAAAAAAAAAAGAAAAGAATAATAAAAAAGAATAAAAAAAAAGATTCTCAGTTTGGAATGTGAGGATAGAAAAATTCTAATTGTGTACTGTCCGCTCTGATATTTTCATCGCAAAATCTATTAAATGCCGGTTTGTTTCGACATAAGTACGATTGCATCATATGAATGTATCTCGTTTCTAATAATCGCGTTCGATAGTAATAATTATTGGGATTATATGCTTGTTTTTTATTAATTTATGATTTATGCAATCATGCTTACTTGATTACATATTATTTTTTTTGTTTTTGTTTTTTTAAATAACATGTCTAACATTACATGTTTCAAGAAATAAGATGCTCTTCGTTTGCTGAATGAATGCGAAAAGAAACTTTGTTTTGCTGACGTATCTAAAAATTTTATTAAACATAGATTTATAAATATTTTTGTTGGATTATCAGAATAATAATATAGAACACTTAAACATAATGATATAAAAACTAGCAATCAATTTGAGCGTTTTACATGATTATTTTCATAATTCGAATTATCTTGAGTAATCAGCCAAATATTTACTTTAGCAAATTCTCTCTACGAATATTGAAAAGAACTATATATTATTGTTATGCAAAAGAGAAAAGAATTAAAGCATAAATGAATAAGTTATGCATGTGCTTCAGATTTTTTGATCTTAATATCATATCCTTTTTAATATATAAATATTTAATATATAATAAAATTTGATATATAACAATTTTTATATATAAAATTGCATATTTAAAAATAATGATGATAAAAAAAATATATTCACTTGATTATTTCCATTATGATGGCCGTCATTCACCACGGTTACCATGCGAATTCATATTTATTTCTTTATCAGTGATCGGCTCTTAAGTGACACTTTTACGTAGTCCAATAAAAAAATCATTCACAGAAGAACAGAAGGATTTATAAATTTGGCATAAGGATACACATACAGATCTCAAAGTAATTTTATTGGACTATTAAAATAATTACTTGAATCACTCAAATTGATCGCTAAAGTATCAAATATTTTGCAGTATTATCATTATGCTTAAATACTCTGCATAAATATTTTGATAATTTAATAAAATTACTTTTAAATCTATAGCCAGACAAATTTTTAGCAAAATTATTCTTTCTGCGTATTAATTAAAAATTTAGCCTTGATTTATTTAAAAATTCTTTTTTTTCGTTAAAGAAAGGAAGACAAAGTACATTTTCCGCATCTTTTTCAGCACAGATTATCTGAATATAATTATTGTAAAAATGATTCTGTGACACATTTATGTGTATCATTATCATAACAGCGAAAACTAATTTAATCAGTTTGATTATGTAATAGCTTTAGGAAAAATTTTTAGATTGTTTGTTTGAAAATTTTTTAATAGTTTTCGTACTATATGTTGTTTTAACCAAAATTTTCGATATGTTACTTTTAATGATAATATTTGTCAATTTAAAATAATTATTTCTTATTCAAATTATTTGCAGGCATAAGATACTATTTTTTAATTAATTTTTATGGCGAATAATACACAATTTAGAGAGAGAGAGGGAGAGATTCTTATTTTTTCTTAAATTCCGAAAAAATTCAGTAATTTTGAAGTATACATTGTAATGTATATGAGAAAGACGAATGAAGTTAAGCAACGCGAGAATCGAAATTGATTTATCTTTACATGACGTTGACCGAGCTTTCATTACTTGATGGGATCAGAAAAAACATTATCTAATATATTTTGATATAATAATATTAAAAAGAATTTAATTAATGTTAAATTATATGGTTATATTTTTTATAATACAATTGATATTTTGCTCTTCTTTGGATATTTTCTGATTTCCAGATAAAAAGAAAGAAAACGAAAAAGAAGAACGAGGAAACTGGTCTAAAAATTAAAATGTAAATTTTAAATTTTAAATTTTAAATTTTAAATTTTGATTGTTTTAAATTTTGATTGTTTATTTAGTTGTGCAATTTAAAACTTGCCTGAGTAGTTTCATTTCTTTTTTTTATTGTAACCTTTTTTTTATTAAAAAATATTGACAACAAGAACATGATGTCATTTGATGTAAGATGACAGATGTAATTGATTTTTCAATTGACATATAAATTATGAAATTATGACATGAATTCTATCTATCTAATTATAATTGCAATTTATAAAATGTCAAGTGAATGATGTACGTATGTATACCCATGGCTAATTTAACTTTCAGTTCTCAAAAGAAAAAGGAAAAAAATATCAAATTTTTTGTTATCTATAATTTGTATGGATAATAACTAATAAATTTGTAAAGTTTTTAATTAAGATTTTTCAACAAGAATGATTAGCTAATTTAGTTAGTTTCGTAATTTAGTTGCATGGATAATAATTGTAGAACATTTAATTTATATTTTTCAACAACCACGATTAACTATCAGCACATCGCGAGCAATCGTATCGATAGAGGCTGTTATTGCAGCCGAAGGCTGCATTGGACCGAAGAGGAGGGTCATCTGGTTGGGGGGTTACTCCCAAGAGAACGACGGTATAAAGGAGACTGCAGGCAAGTCTCGTACGCATTAAACATACGATTGAGAAAGAGGGAAACTGTGTTAACGGCGATTTCCTAAGGGAGCGTATAACCGAAGAGTGCGGCTTGTTCCCGGCCGGTTTTTTGCAAAATTTTTCCGAAAAGTGATCGACATCTCCGTCGGGAGTGACTCCTCGCTTAGTTTCTATCTCATTTATTCGTCAAAGTTTCTTTCTCTCGCGAACACAGAAATAATTGTGAAGGAAAGTGGTCTCCAACGTTGACGCGCGCGAAAGCGACGTCTCGCCGTCGTGCGGACAGATATATTAGATATCGTTCGGCTTGGTGCATCCCCTGCGGCAAACAACAGGTGCATAATTTTATTGAAATATTAGAATATAAAAATAAACATAGTTCTAAATTCTAAAATTGAGGCAAGAATTTTAAATAAATAAATAATATCTTTTTATTCTGATTTTAGTTTAATTTATTATTTGGTTCAATTTCAAATAATTACGAGATGTGTTATTTAATAAAATGTGTTTAATAAAAAGTGTTTACCTAAACACTTGATTGACGATACATGTAAGAATTATATTTTCTCTGTAAATACGTCCAATTTACTAATTTCCCTCAATTTCTAGAGTACGATAATATTCACGATAACGTTCTATTTTGGCAAAAAATTTAAAGTATAAACTATACATTTGATAGAATATTTATCAGTCTTATCAATCTTATAAATCTGTAGCAACTTCTTGTTACATCAAATATTTTTAGAATTGAAATACTTTAAATTCTAAATTATTATATTTATTATATCAGTTGTTTATAATTGTTATTATTAGAAGGAGATAATAGATATCGCCGGTTTGGCATATATGTATTCTTTTACTTGTTATTCCTTCTTACACGAAAGTATTTCGCTTTTAATTTCTAGTTTTATTAGTAGAAACAAAAAAGATATAGATATATATTCTTTATTTGCAGTTATTCGCATATAATCGCCTAATCTTGTTTGACCTTTATCTATGATTTATACGCATTTCACCCATATTCTTTCAATTATATATTAAATTAATATAATCGCGTTCATAGCGTCGTTTTAGATCCAAATCAAGTACAAAATTAAATCAGTCTTAGAATATTCATTCAATAATTCATTTATTCGACATAAAAAGCTTTTATAGTGAAAAATGGAGAATAAGATAATCATATTAGGCTTACATAATTGGATCATGATAAAATCGATATTTCTCTAAAATCTAATATAGCAATAGAAAAAAAATATTAGATATTAGATATTAGTAATATCAAAAGTAAATTTTTTAACGTTCACAATCGTATATTTATCTTCACGATAAAATCTTTTAATAACAGAATTTTTTAAATGCCTATTATAAAATTATTTGTAAATTATTATGTTAATCAAAATTATGTTCAAAATAAATCACAGAATTTGTTATAATTGAATATTAAATTTTAAAATTATTAAATATTTTATCATAAAAAAAATTAATAAAATACAAGAAAAGGTATATTAATTTTTATATTGTTTTAAATTGTACAAAATATTTTTAAAATATAGTTTTTATTTTATTATGGATTTACAAGCAATTATTAATTTTAATTAATAATTGTTTTAACACATATATTTCGTATCTCGCTAATTTTATTTGATCTCGCATTTAGATGTAGCGACATCTGCAATCTACATTTGTAATACTAAATTTGTATATAATATTTTTTTAATAAAAAAAAGTATAAGACTATGTTATTATATATTATTAAAAGAAATAAATAACAAAAATGAATCAGAGTGAGAAAATCATGAGAATATTGAGTCAGAATATGAAACTGATTAAAATAATTGTCAGAAAAATATTTTCAGACATCATTAAATCATGTCATGATAACTGTAGAAAAGATAATAATTATTTAGCGTACAGATATTTTGAAATATAACTTTATGTTTGTTTTTAAAATAAAAATATCAAACGCGCATCCGAATGAGAAGTGTCTGCTATGGTTCATTGGTGAATTATGGCTACGTGAAGTGCATCAATAAAGATATATTAATTTCGTGCTAAAATATAATCCATATCTATGTTATAGTTTATATAGCAGCGTTGTTGCAATATTGCTGAAGCGTTTTTTACTACATAATTATATAAGTTATTATGATATTAATTTTTATCTTTATAAATATGTGTGATTTCTTCCAGACCAAATAGATGTCAAATTTCTTAAAACAAATACAATTACTCATATTATCATTATTAATTCTTAACATTTATTAAAATTCATGGTCTTTAGATAGCTGTTCATGGCATGGAGTAAACACAATGTACAGCGTGACTTAATATCACAAAAATAAAATGTGGATAATTTAATATATTTTTCTTTTCAAATCTAAAAGAGAAAAGGGATATATCTTTAATATATTCACAAAGTTAGAAAATGATATAAAGTGAAAAGCTATAAATGTCATGTTATAAATTTGGAGAACATCGCCTCAACAAGCATTGATATCACTTGCTGCATTTAATAATTTGAATAATTTGTTTGAGTTTCATTGTTACATTTAATTACAATATAAAATTTACAAAAATTAGTCACACAAATTATATTATTGAAATATAAAACATTAGAAATAAAATATTGTTTATATTATATATATCTGATTAAATAGTTTGGTTTCATATATTTCGATTAACTAAAACTGTGAAAACTATAATAAATATCAACAATAAATATTTAATAAAAATTTGTTTTCATAGCTTAAAACATATTATATTATTGTTATATTACTATTTATAAATATTTTTAATATATAATATATAACATATTACTGTTCTGTATATATGCATTTAAATACATAAGCATAATTAAATAATATAAAATAATAACATTAATAAGAAATGATTATTAAAAATAACATACATTGTTAGTTTAATTTTTTATAATCAAAATTTTTTGTAAACTTGTGAACTAGTCGAATAAGAACACTTGGAATATAAATTAACAATTTCTATTTTTTAAATATTTTATTATAAAAAATTAATTTGTTAATATATAAAAAAACTTTTGACTTTTCATTATAAAATTAAATACTTGGTTATAAAAAAATGATATACAGTAAAATGCGCTAAATTATAATGAGAAATGAAATAAGATTTAAGAATATACATAAATTGATATATGACTTTAAAATTATACGGCTTAATATCGACGCACTTGAGATAGTACAAAATAATCTGGAACTTTCTTACATGCGCATAATAAACAAAATTATCATTATGCTGTATCCATAAATATAAATTACATTGAAAAAGTCATATAAATGAGTGATTGGGTTATCGCCATTTGACCTTTTCCTTTACAGAGATTAATAATATAATATAATATCGATTATTTATGAAATATAAAAAGTAATCTAATTAATAAAAGTATTGAAAATTATATATGATTATACTTGAAATACAAGGGATGAAGTTTATTGAAATTTAAACAAGAATTCAAAAAGTTTCGTTTTATTTTTTGACGTAATGCGAGGAGGAGTTCATTGACAAGGTCAGTGATAATTAATAATGCCGTTCATTAATAAATATGGAAGAATAAACGATCGCAAATGTAAGCATAAAACAGATAAAATAAATTAATAATTCCTTACGCGTGTTTTGTTATCGAAGCTATGCAATGATACGCGAGTGCACGTTATGAATGATGAACGTTCGTGCCATTATTTAATAAGTAATAAGTTTTAATAAATATAATAAACAGTTCTTTAATATTACAAAGAAAGAAAGATAACGGGTATTTTATAATCCGATTAAATAAATTGCACTGTATCTGTTTTATGTATCGCACAATTATATTTTCATCAAAAGTTGTAAAGATACATGTTTGCTCTGCTTGTTTAAACTTATTACTGTAAATTTTTTTTGTTTTGAGATATGTTTGTTATATCATTTTGGTTAACTATATTTAACCAAAATGAAAAAAAAAATTTCTTTCTTAACCAAAATTTTTATTTATATTTATATTTTTATATTTATTTTATATTTATATTTTTTGTAACAATAACATTTTTATATTATTCTTTTTTTTTTATATGTATATATTTTTTGTATATATTTTTTATATGTGTATTTATTTATTTTTAAAATCGAGAATATATATATATATTGTCATCCAATTAAACAATTACTACAACAATCATGAAAACATATGTTATGCTTCTATGCGGAATAAGAAGTAAGAAAGCACGAAGAATAAATTTGACATGATTATAAACATCGATATTTAATTGTACATTTTCATCATTTGTTCTGATACATGATAATTGAACCATTATCTCGTAAGTCAACACATCTGTGAGATAAAATAACGGTGAAAAATGTCTGTGGATCTTACCGGAAAGGGATAACGGCGACTGTCATGCAAATACAAGTAAAGTGCTAATAGCGCGACAACTCGCGACAAACAGTGTTTAATTTACTTACACTGCGAATAGACGACGTCGCGCGATTTCACGCGAGCAACGACGACGAATCAAATTGGATCATCTGAAACTTAATTAAGAACTACGTATTAGAGTTTATTATAATTAGACAATTTCAGATACATAATAAAAAATAGTAATGTTAATTATTAAAAAATTATTTAAAAATAAAAATAGGTTAAATTTTAATGTATTCTTAATTTACTGAGCTTAGAAATTATTTTTGTTTAAAAAAATTAATTGTTAAAAATTGTTAAAGAAAAAAAGTTTGAATACAATTAATTTTCTCTCTTTATATGCGCTTAATTAAAGAAATTGATGGTAAACCATTAACAAACATTACAGGCAAGAGAGCAACCGAAAGAGTAATATCTCTTTCTCTTAACAGTTATTTCTCTTTCAAGATTACTTTTTATGGTACTGACCTAAAAAAGTACAGAAGGATTTGATGATGAATATAATCAGTCTTGACGTAGCCTTCTTGTGCATAATATGTATTTTTGACCTTGGCTCATTAATTATATTTCTGATTTACGTAATAACAGGATGGTTTTGTATTCATTATAGGATTCTACAGTCAAGGTAACGAAGAGGAAAACCTAAAGTAGGAATCGGGTCATAGCCATGAAATTCACGATCGCGCTACAGCCGTTTAAAAGTGAGTAAGCAACTAATTTGCTATGTGAAACATTGAAGCCTAATCGCTTAGCAATACAATAGTAATGAATAATAAATGAGCTATTTGTCAAAAAATTTGTGATACAATTTTTATAAATACACATACATTTTTTATAAATTTTTATTAATTTAGAACATAACTTTCTCCAAATTGGAGTACGATTTTTAACATACATCTTTTTATATGTATTGCATAATTTGTATAAATTGAATTTGGGTTATGTTATGCTATACTATTTTATAAAGACAAGCGATAAGGCCCATAAAGAAAATTTATTTCGCATAAATATTAAATAATTAAATTTTTTTACATCTCATTTACATCTTTACGTTTGATATCTTTATTATGTCATATTATTTAGGTAAAAATACTTACACATTTCTTTTTCATTGATTTATAGTGACTCAAATTTTGATGATTAGGTCATTCGCGAATCTTCATGCTGAAATCATAACTTAGTCAAATCGAAAAATCCGAATGAATACGGTGACCTTGATTGGTCCCTCTTTTTACCTTATTACAGATAACGTACAATTTAAGTCAAGGTAAGCCGCTATCTACCCAGTGCTACCTTAAGATGCAATCTGTTTATTATATTGAATGATTATCGTGTAATATGTAACAAGGATTAAGAAAAACGGTAACAAAGTTAAAATCTTTATGAGAAGATAAATCATTGTGGGACATTTTAAATGTCTTTTTTAAAATGTCTTTGGATACACAGACTTGTTTTATTGTGTCATTGTGTAAAGAAGCAGTTCTATTGTTATTATAATGTTTACATTTTCAAGTAGATCGAGTTCATAAATTATGTTAATAGAGACGAAATTTTATTAGTAATGCATTTTATCACTGACACATGTATATTTAAGAGTTACGAGACTGAACTTTTTCTCAGCAAAATCCGTCTCAAGGTATTTATTTCGAGGTTATTGTTCCCGATATTTTATATCGGCTAATTTATTTTTCTCAATTACTCGATTAAATTTTTTATATTCTTTCGTTTAAAGTGGCATTATAATGAATAATCGAATTTCCTTGTAACGTGTAATTAATTAATTAAACGTGTAAGAAAT